GCATTATTTCTCTGTTCTCTCCTTAGAACAGTCAACTTTGGGTTTGTTCTTTATATATTACATTCACCTTCAGGTTTGAGGAATGCTCCAGGTTATTTTCTCCAGAAAAAAATGAAATTTTATTTGGGGTTTCACCTCTGTTCAAGTCATTTAAAAATGAAAAAAAAAAAAAAAGCCCCTTACTTGACAGGTGAAATGTAACTGGAATCCATGAGTAGCAGATGAAAATAGCGTGAGCAGCTGGAGTTGACAAGAAAGATATACCACACATTATACGGACAGGAAGGAGTTTTTGCCTAGCATTTTTACCAAGGCACTATGTGAGGTATAACTTAAAGGATGGCTGGGGCGGGGGTGGGGGAGGAGAGGTGGTGGACATCTTTTATCAGCTGCCCCCTTTACTTGTGTCTCTAACACCATCCTGCAAAAACTAAGATAGACAAGAAAGGGACAGCCCACAGTAATACCACAGCATAATCTCATCTTTAAGTTCTCTGTGTGTGTGTGTGTGTGTGTGTTTTCTTTTCAGTTCAGGAATTTTGAACAACTCTTTTTTGAAACAGGAAATAGTATTAATGTGTTAAAAATGTTAACCCATCAAATGCCTCTGACTAAATCTCTTCTGCTGTGATTTCTTCTACTTCTCCATCTCTACACAGACATCTCTACATATGCTCCTCTGCCCAGTTAACTAACATTCCTGGCATCGCCTGCATGAATATACTCACAGTAACCGTCCTGAGTTGGCTAACATCCCATGAAATATCACCATTCCTTTCAGGAGAAACCACCCGTACGCATTGGGCAAGAGTTCCCAAATGCCATATGCATTGACAGAGGGAAGCTCTAGTACTTCTAAAGCTCTAAAATGCTGAGGTCTCAGCATTTTAGAAAAATATATTTACAAGTGTTCTCACTTCTTGGGAGAAGCTAAGTGATGCCAATGCAGAGATAAAAATACAGATACAGATACAGGAAGGCAGAGGCTATCACCATACAATGGCCTTTTGCTTTAAATAACCCGGGGGTGGTGATGTAAAGTACTATCTACATTTAACTTTGAATGAAAGGGAAAGAAAAAACAAAGAAGCGAAAAATGCAGAGCTAACCACCCGGAAACACTGGAGACTGAGTTAGGCGAGATGTTCCATGTAAGTCCCCTTAATTCCTGATGCTGCCTGCTTGCCTTTGCAGCCAAAAGAGACAAGTAAGAGCAATGTGGTCTCTAGGGACCAAGGAGGGCAAAATGAGAGACACAAGTCTTAATCAGGGGACGGACGCTGCCTTCAGAAAGGTTAATGAGATGCAATAGCAAGAGAATCAGTGCAAAAAAGAGAGGTGCGAAATACTAAACAATTTCCACTTTGTACTCATTTGCTCCACTTAAGAGCTGTTGAAACAGCTTTTCTGTATTCCATGCATTCTCTACTCTCCGGAGCAGACTGGACTATGCAAGGGGAAAAAAAAGTGCTATGGAAAAACAGTCTACTAAGTTATCATAAAGGCCCGGCTTATTCCCCCAACCCCCACCCTCACACACTTTTCCCTCTAACTCAGAGCCTCTGCCAGTAGCTTTACTGATTTTTTTTTCCCCTCTCTCAAATTTAGAGCGTATGTCAAGGAGGGAGAGGCTGGAATTAATTTTTTTCCAGATTTCATATATGCAGGATTCTAATGTTAGATCAATAAGAGGTATAAAAATGGAAGGATGGGGAGGGGTGCTTATAAAAATGGAAATAATCTCCTAGGCATGAAAATAGCCCCAAAATGCCACACACTGAGTTCTTCTGAACACTGCATTCTCTGAAGACGCGCTTATAGACTGCATATGGATTTCTGAAAACAAACAGGAAAGCCCAAAACATTGCAAGGAAGGACCAAGATCTAAGTGGTCCTGTGACTTACCTTCTTTCTGCACCCTCTGCACCCTCGGATTTCACCAAGGAAAATTTAAAATCCTCTAGCTCGTCTTGCACTACTCTTTTCTTCTTCTTTTTTAAAGTCACAGAGGAGAAAAATAGTCAGTTTTCAAAGGTTCCATTTATCTGATTATCCAGCAAAACATGTCCAAGAGACTCCGCCAAAAAGTAAGCCAAAAACTCATCAAAGGCAAAAAGAAGAAGGGGGTGGAGGGAGAAGAAAGGGGGTGGTGAGCACTAGATGGCGGGGGAGCCTACAGACTGTCAGCCCAAGTGCCCAGAGAATATTTTCACGCGCTGAAATCTACTGTACGATCTACCTGCTTTAGTTGTCACACAAATACACGCGCTCGCTCGCGGACACTCATACATTCCCTTCCACGCAAAAGCAGGCACCCCGCACTCACACACACACACACACACACACACACACACACACACACACACACACTCACACACACGCACCAGTGCAATGAAAACTGTCAGGAGTAACCTCCAATAGCTGCTGTGCGCTGCAGATGGTTGGGCTCACTGTTACCTTCCCAGATCGACGTAGGATCAAAAGAGCATCCAAAAAATCAGGGGGGCCCCCCCAGGACCAGGTAGATTCCGAATCCCTCTTCCCCCGGGCGGATGCATGAAGCCAGGAGCGGGTCAATCAGCAAGAGGTGCCTGCTCGCGGGGTGCCCCGGGTGCTGGCAAGGTTATTAATCTTGATGCGCTGCATCCCCCACCCCCGGCGTTCGGCAGGCTGCGTGGAGATCACTGCCAGAGCCGTGTCTGTCCCCGTTCAGCTGCATGTCGCTCAGCCCTCTGATGCTGCGGAGGCGAGAATACTAATCAGGCGGTTAGCTACAGTTCCTCCAAGGCAGGCGGCATGCGGTACAGTAAACGGGCACTTCCCGGTGCTCTGAGTGTGCCTGCGCGTCTGCAGGGAGGGCAGTGCATCCACCTCCGGCCAGAAGGCGACGTGGCCTGTGTCCTGCCTGGGAGGACTCTATCACGGGGCTCGTCACTGTCCTGCGAGGCATTGTCTGTGACAGTATTTTGTTGGGGATAAAAAAAGAAAAAAAAGGAGGGGGGGTGGTTAATGGTTTAGAAGCCAAGGGCTGGCATTTGAATGAGAGAGAGAAAAAAATGTCCAGGGAGACAAATTAGTTTTATAAATAGGCTCCAAGGAGACCAAGGCAGATTTTTTTTTTTTCCCAACATGCGGCTGCCCTGGCTGTTCAATGGAAATACAAAGCAATTTCCAAAAAGAGCCTCAGCCTATAAATCTGGGCGCTGGCAACAAGTATCTGGATTTGAGTGATGGCTCTGTGGATAAATGGGTTCCTGGTAATATAAAAAGTTTGCTCAGGCATGCTGCTCCGTAGCCATGCCCCCGATGTGTGCAGGCACTGGGTCCAGTGCACTCATTTTAATGTGGATTTAGACTATCCCTTCCCAGTTTTACTCTAATGCAGTTTTTATCACCCAGCTATCAAACTGCAAAGCATGTCATTTAGGGGGATTGATTGATAATTGTAAACACTAAGTATAGGTAACACTGAGATGGAATGAGTTTGGAGTTTTCCAGAAATAAAGTATTATATCTCTTTTAGTACCAAGCCATGAAAGAAAATGTATGCACAATATGCTAAGTGTATAATTCTTCAGCCTCTGGAAAACTAAATGTTTCCTCTTCTATGATTCGGTCTCATATTACAATACCTCTTCTTTAGTCAAGGGTGCTCACTGAGTTCTTTAGGGTGAATTAAATTGGTATTATCTGAATAAATGAGTACTAGACAGTTAGAGAAGGCAGATAAGAATGAATTAAAGAGCAATGTAATATCAGGTATTGCCAGTAGATGTCAGAAAAGATGATCCAGGTAAAAACACGACCAACTGCAAACATTTAACCTAATTTAGTAAACAGAGTTTAAAACAATTTATAACATCAAGCTGAACTGCTGAGTTTTTATAAAATTAAAAGGTACAAATAATAACTTGGAGAACAACTTGCCTTTTATTTTTTCCCAAATCTCCCTTTAAAATCATTATTTTACTTAAATACAGTAGATTATCTGCTATGAATATTGGAAAGAAAAAGAAAATTAAAAAAACCACACCACTGACTAACATATTTGCATCTAACATTATTTCTAGCATTTAAGATTTTTTTATTCTATGAAATATAGCATTTAAATATCTTCTCATAGGTAACAGAGCAACTACTTGGTCTTACTACAAAACAGATACTAGTAAATGGGAGGAAGTAAATTAGGTGATTAAAATTCATACATGAAATCTTTGTTGAAGATTTCCATTTTAAAGCAATAATTCTGTTTTATCTTGATTATATCTACATAATCAGTTTAAAGGCATCATTCATGTTTAGGAGCTGAACAGTATTACTCAACAGTGGCACACAGACAACACATACATGAATTCCATTTATGCTAATAAGTGAAAGGTTTTAAAACCCTAGCATATCATCTTAGCCTTTATTTATCTAAATGCAATTAATTATCACCCACCAAATTCCAGCCCTAATTGGCCCAAATGACAAGAAAAGAGTCAGAAACTTGGGCATTAGGGTTCAGAAGGACCTACTTTATATCATCTGCCTCATAGTCTCCGCAAGTCTTTGTCTTGCCCCCCAACTTAAAAAAAAATTTACTTGCAATCAAGACATTAACACATACCTAACAGGATTACTGTGAGGACTGCAATGAATTGATATTTATTACATGCTTAGCATATTTTCTAACACATAATAAGTAATCTATATGTTTTATAAGTAGATTTGTTTTTCTTACTATGTTAGCTCAGTCTTTGTTGGCCACAAAGGGGAATCATTTAATTCTTTGGACATCAAAAGCTTTGATTTTATTTAAATTTCTTTTTATATAAATAGTTGTTTTGATCTTGTTTTTTGTAAAATCATAGTTGAGTAATATTAGACCCCTTTTTAAAGTCTATTGTACACAGATACATTCATGCAATTACTTATGTGTTATAAGATTCACTAAAATAAGAAATAATTTTCAGGATTAATAATTTTATGAAATAGTTTTGAATCAGAATATTTAGAAAGAAAATCAGATGGCAGTTTAGTGCTTCCCCACTAAGACTTGCCTTGGCGCCAATAGTCCCACCAAACACTAAAATGGAGATGCTGAACAAGGCAAAATTTCATTTTTGGAATTTCTGGCATATAGCAATTCCACAGCAGATTATCATTGCAACTCAGATTATCCTTTTAAAAAGAGTGTCTGGATACTGACTTCCATTAAACAACTGTCATGTATTCAGTACTTTGCTGAGGAAAAGGAATACCAAGAATGTGACCACCTTTGTTTCAAAACCTAGGGAGTTACTCAGCTAAAATTTGAAACTGGTCCCTGTACACGGAGGACAAAGAGAGACCAAGAAAAGCTGCCACTTCCAACTAGTGGGTGGCAGCTTTCCTAAGCCAGGGAATTTACTTACAAGGCTAGTTGGAAGGACGCCGCAAGACTGGTAGATACTCCCTCGAACCCGCCAGAATCTTAAATGTCTATACAGAGATTTTAACTGTGTTCAGTCACTCATTCTGTACAGCTGATCTCAACAAACCTCAAGCTCCCAAGGCTATGTCCTTGATACAGCTCAGCTGTGTGCATTAAGGATGGGATTTGCATCCCTGTTTCTCCCACAGGAAAGGGCAGGAGTTGCTAATTGACCAGGTTCATCCCAAGGTCAACTAGAGATCACGTTCCCTCCATGACCTCGCCCAACAACCACTGGAATAATATATAAATTCCTTCGGAACCTCTTAAATAAATAAGTTGGATAAAAAATGAGTGAGATATTTCCCTAGCCAGGTGTCTCAGTTGTTCAGAACACTGCCCCTACACCAAGAGATTTCAGGCTTGATTCCCAGTTGGGTTCCATCCCCTGCCAGGGCGGGCATATGAGAGGCAACCGATTGATGTTTCTCTTTTACACCTGTCTCCCCCTCCCCCTCCCCTCTACTTCCACCCCCCTTCCCCTCCTCTCCTTTTCCCCCTCCTCCTCTCCCTCTCTTTCTAAAACCAATAAAAAAAAAAATCCTTGGGTGAGAAGTAAAAACAAATACATGAGTGAGATATAAAATTAAGCAGCTCATCAGTGTGCCCATTTTTCTTCATCCAGCACGCTAAGAATCTGGAATAGGTTGGACAATAGTTATACTAAAGTTAAAATACAGTTTCTTGGAGGTCTGATTTCTGTTTACAATGAAATGTCTCCTCCTTTACTCGGAGGAAGTTCTGGATCAACAATAGTCCCTCCTTCTAACCTGACAGGTGGTGTATTATAGAGAGCTGACACCTGATATATTGGCATTGCAGGAGAGCAGGGTACCTGTGAGACCTCCCTTTACCGTGTAAGATTTCTCTCTTAGAAGATATTAGTATCAGAATTCCTCACCTTTCAAAAGTGCTCAGGTAATATGGGGGTTTTTGAATGATATGTTTGGATTAGGGAAATAAATGCAACTAATTCTATATTATTGGAAAATTCTAAATTCCCAAAGTTGATCTGAGATAATGAGTCAAACAGCTACCATTAACAGTAGGTAAATGTATGACTTTAATATTGATATGTTTTATTTCTTGGGAGCTAATAGGCTATAAAATACCCTATCACTCTGAGAAAATTCCCCTTAGAATGCTTATGTGAAAATTTAAATGTTTATGTTTCTTGTAAATACATCTACTTACAGCATGTCACTGTGCTTTTATTTGCTCCTTACAACACATGCTATGGCATAAGCATAACAACAGGAACTTGGTTCAGTATTCCTTCCCTCCTTGGCTTATTGTAAAACCAGATTGTCTGCAATCCAAATGTTCTGAATTAGCTTATTAGTCTAAAAGATTTCATCCTATTATTCCATCTCTGGAAGTCTGTATTAATTATTTCTTGAAATTAGCTTAGACCTTTTATCTAATGAGTTTTAACCAGTTATAAAGGGTTGGTCATTATTAGGTTTCTCGAATTATTTAGCCTTCTTAAAAATCCAGCAATTGCAAGCTTAAGTAACTCTAACATGAGAGTTGAACTATTGGGATCAATTTATGCAAGGGATCTGCCTGGGCCTTTATAACCACTCCCTCTCACCAATCCGAAGACTACTTATTTACTAGTAACCCATATCACTTATGGCTTTATTATTTCATATACATAAATGCATTTTCAAATGACCTCCTCTTTTTTTGCCCAGAGATGGCCTAACACAGGTCCCTCCAAACTCAGGTGCTAGATAATTTTTTGTTATTATTAATAAAAATAGGCTAGACATAACAACTAAGGGACTTAATGTATCGTTTTATCCTTTCAACTTCAGCCTTAAGTATAGTCTGTGCATAGATTGCCTGCTAATTGTGATGTAATTACTTCTATCTTATTAGCTTTTTACTAAATTAAAATAATTCCTTATTATTCTCTTAATATCAGTATGATCTCTCATTCCTGGTATTGGAAATGTGTGCATTCACTTTTTTTAAATCAGTCTGGATAAAAGTTTACAATTTTAATGATCCTCTCAAAGAGTCAACTTTTTATTCAATTGACTTTTTTTTATTTCATTGATTTCTGCTCTTATCTTTCATTATTTATTTTGTTCTATTTTCGTTGTGTTTCATTTGCTCTTGTTTTTCTACTTTCTTAAAATGGAAGATATGCCTGACTGGGGTGACTCAGTGGTTGAGTGTTGAGTTATGAACCAAGAGGTCACTGGTTTGATTCGCAGTCAGGGCACGTGCCCAGGTTGTGGGCTCAATTCCCAGTAGAAGGTGTGCAGGAGGCAGCCGATCAATGGTTCTCCCTCATCATTGATGTTTCTCTCTCACTATTCCTATTCCTTCCCTTCTCTCTAAAAGCCAGTCAGAAAAAGAATTCCTATCTCTTCCCTTCTCTCTAAAAGCCAGTCAGAAAAAGACAAGTATCACATGATCTCACTCATAATCTAATGAACAAAATAAATTGATAAACAAAATAGATCCAGAGACATAG